AACATGGCGGCCGGCTGCAAGTATGTGCATGTGTGTTCGTGTTCGATTTCGCCTGGATTATTCCCGTTTTGAACTCTCGTTCCCACGCCGTTCATTCCCCAGTTTCTATTGGAATTCGCAGGCGGAATATGAAAATTGCGGCATGACACATGCTCGGCAGATTATTTTCCTGCCCTGCATGTCTGCCAAAGTATTTTTACATATTCCTTTCCTCTTTTCTTTCTTGCAATTTGCACTCCGATGCAAATACAGAGATTTAAAAATAACATGCGGGAAAATCGGCAAGTAAAATTGTCACTAGGGTAGAAAATAAATCACAACGCCCTGCAGTTCTCGCTCTCTCCGTCTCTTTCGCTCTCTTTTAAGCTATGGGAGGCAAGTGCAGTCGTGTGCTTATTCGCCATCCCTTTCGCTCCCTCTCTTTCTGCAGTTTTTCACCCTTTGGAATCGCGAATTTTCCGCCGCACGAATTTTGCCGAATGCCGATGCTTCTGGCCATTTCCCGTTGAATTTCTTTTTCATCATGTTGCGAAAGTTTGCAAATTTTGCAGTTCCGACATTTGGCTTATAGTGACAGCCAATTGTAAATGATTTTCCCTTCAAATTAAAAGCCGGCCGGTAGACTGCCGCAATGTTTTCCGCATTTCCCCGGGTCTCGAGCTCTGCGGGTGAGGGTTTCTCTCCAGCTTAATCCTCTGATGGAGAGGAGAGTGCATTTCCCCAGAGTTCGCAGACTTCGGCTTGATTCGTTTCTGTCTGGGGCTCGTTATTGATTTTTCGCCCGGTGCAAATCGACGGAGGGATATATACGCCAGTCTTTAACCGACAGACACTTGGCCTGGTCGTTGTCCGGCTGCACAGTACGGAAAACCGTTGTAAAAGTCATAAGTTGTCAATTTTTTAAAAGTTTTTTTCATTTTCAGGATATAGCGTCCAGTGTGTTAGTGATCGGATTTTGTTAGCACAGCATCGCCAATTATAAAGCTCTAAAGTTTCGTAAAAACAGGTGAGTTTTATCTATAATCCACCGAAAATGCTGTAGACAGGCGCAAACACAGAAAAAAATTGGGCATTTAAATACATCGCATTCATATGAAAAGGGATCATTTGGTATTCTACACTGTAAAAAAAATTCAATGTGCTATGGTCTTTTACAATATTAGTAAAAACTTGGTGATTCATTTTTTAACATGAAAAGGAATGAAGATTGAGTTCAATGTTTGGTTATTAAACTTATTCAACATTGCATTGTGTTTCCATATTATTTGTCTAGACGTCTAGTTACCACCATAATTGTCCTAATTTTTCCCCGGTGTACATTTGTGCATGTGTGTATGCAATGTCCTTTTGGTGTCTACACCACGATGACACGACCCACACCCACAGCATACATACGTCACTGGCCTGCACCACCCATTAAGCTCAGGCCCACATTGACATAGTCCTTCCTTGTATCCGAAGTCCACCCACTTTTCTCATCCGTATATCCATCCTTTCGTCTTCCCACAGCTCTGAAAAAAGCTTAATCTGCAAAGATGGGCAAGGAGAAGATCCATATTAACATTGTGGTCATCGGCCATGTGGACTCCGGCAAGTCGACGACCACCGGCCACCTGATCTACAAATGCGGCGGCATCGACAAGCGTACGATCGAGAAGTTCGAGAAGGAGGCCCAGGAGATGGGCAAGGGCTCCTTCAAGTACGCCTGGGTGCTCGACAAGCTGAAGGCGGAGCGAGAGCGCGGCATCACCATCGACATTGCCCTGTGGAAGTTCGAGACGGCCAAGTACTATGTGACCATTATCGACGCGCCCGGCCATAGGGATTTCATCAAGAACATGATCACCGGTACCTCGCAGGCCGACTGCGCGGTGCTCATCGTGGCCGCCGGAACCGGAGAGTTTGAGGCCGGAATCTCCAAAAACGGCCAGACCCGCGAGCACGCCCTCTTGGCCTTCACGCTGGGCGTGAAGCAGCTGATTGTGGGCGTCAACAAGATGGACTCCACCGAGCCGCCGTACAGCGAGGCCCGCTACGAGGAGATCAAGAAGGAGGTGTCCTCGTACATCAAGAAGATCGGCTACAACCCGGCCTCGGTGGCCTTCGTGCCCATCTCTGGCTGGCATGGCGACAACATGCTGGAGCCCTCCGAGAAGATGCCCTGGTTCAAGGGATGGTCCGTGGAGCGCAAGGAGGGCAAGGCGGAGGGCAAGTGCTTGATCGACGCGCTGGACGCGATCCTGCCGCCCCAGCGTCCCACTGACAAGCCGCTGCGCCTGCCGCTCCAGGACGTCTACAAGATCGGAGGCATCGGCACCGTACCAGTGGGCCGAGTGGAGACTGGTCTCCTCAAGCCAGGTAAAGCTGTACTTCCTTGTCTTCCGGGTTGAGTCTCTAAGGAGGTGTAGTCTCTTTGCTCTGCACTCCCCCTGATTATTTCATTCATGTACTCTGGTACTCAGCGGAATTTGGGTCGGCAGTGGGCTGCCACTCCCACTCCCTTTGCCACCGCCTCTGAATCTGAGCTCGCGACGAAGTCTTGCGCATGTATGCATTATTGAGCGAACGCCTCCGTCGAGAGCGAGGCACTCCACCCATGCACTTGGGGAAATTGGGCATCCCCAGCCAAGAACTTCCATTTTCGTATTGAAAGTGAGAGTCCATTAAAATAATAAGTCTCTTGTAATCCTAATAAACATTTAAACTTTGAATTCAAGTGTTCTCTTAAGCAGAACCAACGGATTCAGCTTGTTTTGGCAGTTTTATTTAGTATTATTTTATTATATTAGTTAAACAAATATAAGAAATAGCCTTTCACTACAAATCATCAAGTTCAAAGAAAATTAGTAGACTTAAGGCAAATATTTATAATATATAGTAATGAGTTTAAAAATGAAGCCCATATATAAGCAAATATTTATATTATAATTTAAAAGAATACAAATCAATTATACCCCCTGTTTATTATTTCTCTCTGTGTATGAAGAATGCAAGTTTTGCACCCACCCCATCCCATAGTCCCTCTTATGTATAACTACGATGTCTAACTCTGTTCGGTCGCTTCGTTTCCGGTCTCGTTGCAGGCATGGTCGTCAACTTCGCTCCGGTCAACCTGGTCACCGAGGTTAAGTCTGTGGAGATGCACCACGAGGCTCTCACCGAGGCGATGCCCGGCGACAACGTCGGCTTCAACGTGAAGAACGTGTCTGTGAAGGAGCTGCGTCGCGGCTACGTGGCCGGCGATTCCAAGAACAATCCTCCCAGGGGAGCAGCCGATTTCACCGCTCAGGTAGGTTTGGGATCTTACCCCAGGTCTTTCAAGACATTTCCCCCAATAGTTTAGCTGATTGCTTGACTCATATCTTCTTGGTCTTACCCTCCCCCCACAGGTCATTGTGCTGAACCATCCGGGCCAAATAGCCAATGGCTATACTCCCGTCTTGGATTGCCACACGGCCCACATAGCCTGCAAGTTTGCCGAGATCAAGGAGAAGTGCGACCGCCGTACGGGCAAGACCACCGAGACGGAGCCGAAGGCCATCAAGTCCGGGGACGCGGCCATCATTGTGCTGGTGCCCAGCAAGCCGCTGTGCGTCGAGAGCTTCCAGGAGTTCCCACCGCTGGGACGGTTCGCTGTACGCGACATGCGGCAGACCGTGGCCGTAGGCGTCATCAAGTCGGTCAACTTTAAAGAGACGACCTCGGGCAAGGTGACAAAAGCCGCTGAGAAGGCACAGAAGAAGAAATAACTAGGGTGCCAGCAGAACTACATCACTCGAACCCAACAACAAGAACAACAACAACAGCAGACGGCTAGAGCAACAGCAACAACAACACCACACAACAATACACATGTCAAAATTATAATATCCACTCGACGATCAAAAGCAAACCTTAGCTCCGTGGCAACCAAGACACCAATTACTACTAACACCAGCTGCAGGCAGGGGCAGATACAGATATTATATGAGATCGATCAGATAATACCCTATATGATAACCACGCGTACGATTAGCGAGGAGAGGAGCAGGAGCAGCAGCTGCAGCGAGGAAGCCAAGAAGGAGGAGGAGTCCTTCCAGCTCGCCGGGTCGGTTCTAGTCGCCTTCGCCCTGGTGGTCTACTGCAGCTATCTGAACTTGTATCGCCACCGCAAGTCCTTCCGCAGGAAACCACCCACTTACCACTCCGCAGAGTGGACAGGGTCCTCCGGATTCGGATCCCGAGCACTGCTGTAGCCTGCCCCCTCGATATATACTCATCTACAACTAACCTTACATTTGATTAGCAGCCACCACACATCCGGTCGTGCATCATCCACCTGTTTCGAATGGATTTTAAACACTTTTTATACTTTTGATAAGTCAAGTCGGAGGCATTCGATTTAAAATCTATTATACAATGTAATTTCCGAATTTAGTTTTAAACCACGCCTACGCCCCCTAAGTCCCCCAAAAATGAAGAAGACTACATTCGCAATGAATTCAAAATTTCTCTTGAAACCAAAAGACAAATGCTTAAGAAGTATTACAAAAAACAAAAAGAAATCAACATAAAACACATAATCATGCGGTTTTTGAAAACATTCTAAATGTTTAATCGAGCCTCATTTGCATTTGCAGACTACAATTATATACGTTAACCACATGTCATCGCATTGCCCATAACCAGCATATATACACGTTACTCTCTCACACTCTGAATTTATACAAATCGAAAACAATTGTAACCGACACCAGAAAAATTCTTGGATACAGAACATGTTGCTTGATACAAGATCTTTTAAATGATGAGAAAAATAAAGGAAGCTTAACCGTAAAATACCACAAATGAATGTTTTTATCTTTTGAATTAGCTTACCTGAGACTTAAATTTTTTTGGGGTTTTTTCGATATTTTTGTTTAGATAAAAAAGACTTTAAATTATTAAGTGAAATTCAAATTCCAGCGGTTCCAATTGGTTCCGGACTAGCGGTTCCACCGAAAAGGTGACAACCCTGGTTCTGACTCACTGTAAAAAATACAACAAAACAAAGCACCACAAGTTTTACAGAATCTCAGCCGGCTGTTCGAAAATAAGTCGATATAACTGTGACTCAGTCCAAGAACTCCCCGTCGAGCTCTACTAACTTTGGTTCATAGTTAAACGCAGCGGAAGCCATTCAAAAATGACAGATCCACGCATCCGCCAACTGGTGATTAAGTCGGAGTGGTCAGACGGTTGACCAAGGAGAAGTCCTGCTACGCCAAGGAGGTGCAGACCGAGCAGACCAGGCTGGATAAGTTCAGGGGCGAGGGAGCCGACGACCATGTCTGCGCAAGCAGGAGGAGGTCATCCAGGAGTGCGTCATGATGGTGCCCGACTCAAAAGGAGGTGTGTGCTCTGAAAACCCTCTGTTTAGGCGGTTAATGCAGCATTTCTTTCGCAGGCTGCAAAAGGAGCTCGAGACTTTGGAGAAGTACCTCGCCGACGAGCTGGATCTCAAGGAGACGGAGGAGTACACAAAGGCGGCCGAGATCGTCAAGGCAGCCAAAGCTGAACTGGAATCTAGGATCGGAACATTCCCTATACAGCATTTACCCTTTAATATCAGCATTATTGCAAATTCCTGATGGCCCAGGTCATCATCATCAAGTTCTGAGCTGCAGAGCGGCCCAAAAGCCTACGTGTTAAGCAACTTAATACTCTTTAATCTTGTTTTGCTTTGTAATAAAATAAATTAATATATCTTTTCTATTAGAGCAATCAGCCGGTGTCTTCTTCTTGTTCCTAACAAATGGTACCTACATAATATTTTATTACATTGAAGTTCTTACATAGCTATTTTACGTATAAATAAACAATTTAAAAAAATATATGTACAACTACCCCACAGGGTCTAATCGATAACATCGATCTATCGTTTTTCGATAAACATACATATTTTAAATTATGGATAGCAAAAATCTTAAATTAAGCGAAATTAAAGCCAATATTCAGCATGTCCTAGTGAATTTGGAACAACTGGAGCAATGAGCAATGAAGCTGGACAAGATTTGATGTACAACAGGCGGAGGAACTGCAGCGGAGAACGTCCACCCTGCTGGATGAACTTGAAAAGGTGCCGGCCGAAAAAGTAGCCGACATACAAAAACAAAGAAAACGCCGGCGACGTTTAGTTAAAGAGAAAAAGAAGCGAATCAAAAAGGAAACCATTAAATGCGAGATTCCAGAACAGAAGTATACCATAGAACCTCCTCGAAATCCCCAAGAGAAGCAGGCAGAGCACATATCCCTGCGAAAACGCCGCGATGCCGCCTCCATTTTGGAAACATTTGATCTTCTCGAGAAGCTATGCGAGTCTCGGGGAGGAGACAAAGCCGCTCTGAGCCAAAAACTCTCGCAAATGCGACGTGTGTGGCGGAGGGTCCAAGAGGAGAACGAAGGCGACCATGTCAAGGAGTCCAAAAAGGCTGCCTCCATAGAATCCCAATGGGAGGTGGTGCTCTTTGGCAAATCTTCACCTTTGAGTAGGAAGAGCAAGGGGAAATTCCTGGAGACTCGGTAGGACTACTAGACATTATTCTTTGTCTCTTTTCTTACAAAAATCTCATTTGCTTCCAGCTCCATTTGGGATTCTTACATAAGCTTTGCCGGCAGAGGCTCCTGTATACCCAGAGGATGGGTGCTACCACCAATGAAGCCCACCGCTCAGTGGGCAGCCTACAGAACTGACAACCAGTAACATGCTTACGTATACATAAATTATATAAGCCTCCACAAACGAATCACCATCAACACTTGAACAAAGCTTCTCTACTAATTATTGTGGAATTTTATTTCTTCTGAAGAATCTCTCTGAATTCAGCTTAGATGAGGGCAAGCAACTGAGACAGGCGCCTATTCGTAGATCCAGTCCTTGGCGGCCGGGGTCCAGGTGACCAGCTCCTTCTCGTTGAACCAGAGGGCAATCTCCTTCTCGGCGGACTCGACGGCGTCGGAGCCGTGGATGATGTTGCGTCCAACCTGGATGCAGAAGTCACCGCGGATGGTGCCGGGCAGGGAGTCAGCGGGGTTGGTGGCGCCGAGCATCTGGCGACCGGTCTTGACCACATTCAGACCCTCCCACACCATGGGCACCACGGGGCCGGAGTTCATGTAGTTGACGAGTCCGGGGAAGAAGGGGCGGGCGGACAGATCGGCGTAGTGCTTCTCCAGCAGCTCCTTGGAGGCCTGTTTGCGGTTACAGAGCGGGTTCGTTATCAGTTAATTGCAGTTCTGACCTCTAAAACACATGTCATCCGCTGATGACGCCTGCACCCAACCTTTGAGGTTAGGTCCGACGATAACCCCGCGTGGGGGCCACCTTGCATATTGATTTCTTTCTAACTTAATTATCCCTTACCCAGGTGAACTTCAGGGCGACCAGCTTGAAGCCCTTCTGCTCGAAGCGCTCGATGATCTTGCCGACGAGTCCACGCTGGACGCCGTCAGGCTTGACCATGATGAAAGTCCGTTCCTTGTTAGCCGCCATTGTCGAAACTGCGAAAATAATGCCAAAATTGTGCCGAGCATCAGTAGCTTCATGTGTCCGGTGCAGAAAATCTTGAATGTAATGAGCCGGCCAGCTGAATTTAAGGGGTATCGCCAAGTGGTCACACTGAGGGCCGCTTCTATGAGTTTTTCACGGTTTTTGGGGATTTTTCAGATGGGTTGGTCTTATGGATCGTGGCGAAAAGTCCCCCGTTAATTACCGGGTAACTTTCCATCCGAAACTGAAGAATTATTAGAAGATGGACGAGGTTTTTGAATTTGTATCGAATACAATATATTCCAATTAGTAGCGTTGCCACATTGCATTTTACAAGGTGAGTTCCAAAGTAAAGCCTAGTACTCAGATCGGCAAAGAGTTTCACTAGTCGAAAAATCTTATTCTTTGGAGTATGACCGAAGTTTTCAAAGTTCACCCGCAATGCATGTGGCAGGGTCTTACTGTCATGCAGCTGGGCTTGTTCCCAAACAGAAAACAAATCAAATCTTGAACCTTTAGGATGTGGGAGCCGATTGGGAACGGGGTTGTTCCGCCTGATGCTGGATGAAGTCGCCCAGCATCCTAGTAATGGCTGGTGATGGCTCCTCCAGCTGCCCCTTTCCTCCTCCCTATAGAAGCCGGCGCGTCGTCCATCTCCGCTTTAGCTGCCAAGTAGATGGTGGAGGTGGAGTCCTCAATGGAGAGCTCGTCGGAGATCGAGCGATGTCCCATGTTCCTTCCCACTGGAATTATCTATTGGATCTCCTCCAGCACTTTAACTATTGTGCGGATTTGCCCCGCTGTGGTATTGCTTCCTGTCGGTCAAGTCCCACAATAACGGGCAACAGCTTGGATTCGGCGTCCTTTTTCATCTGCACTGACCTCCTTAGGCATTTTTTTTGCATTTTTAATTTTTAAATTTCCCACGAACACCGCCAAAGACTAAATTTCTTATTCTTTGGGCCGCGGCTAACGGCGTTCATCGAAATTCAATCGCGAAATCTGGTATTTTTTCTGGTATTTCCTTAGCTTATCTGAGTACCGCGCTGAAAAACAGACCCGACGAAAAACGTTAGCTGCGTATTTGCCTCTCGCTCACTCCTATGGTTAGCTCGCGGTTTTCGTCGATGTGAGTACTAGGCTTAAACAGGACTTTTTTAATCTAGCGCCCTCTAGTGGCGCCACCTTTATGTCAACTGGTGCGTTAGAATCTGCTATCGTTTAACGGTCGTTTCATCTATTGGAAGGGTTATTGCGTTTTAGGTGTCAGTATTACTGTGTTTATGCGATGCCGAAATCACGCTTTCATTTCGCGATTTCAGACGATTCGTGTGTGCATAAACGCAATTTCGTGAATTCGGCAACACACGAAAATTGACTATGAATTCAACCTGAAAGCGTCAAATGGTCAAATTAAACTCCGGTATTTCTATATAATTATCGGAGTTGCCAGATCGATATAAATACACCTTTCTTTTAACAAATTATTTTTTAATTCAGTGCCAATGGAAACTAGTTTTTATCTTTTATTTTGTTGGTAGAAAAAATGTTATACAAGCTTGCACACACTTTATCTTTAATGCTAGCAAGATTAGTTCATGTGAATCGAAAAAAATAATGCCGCGTCGCATAAACAGGAGCAAACTTTATTTCACACTTTCAAGAAATCATGAAACCCTTAGCATAAACATAGTATATGTTTGTGTCATCGGTGCGAAAATAAGCTTCGAACAAAGAGCCAACAATAAATTTTGTTTTAAAATTGGTAAAACTTTTACCAAAACGTTTCGATTGATGAAACAAGTTTATGGCGATGATTGCCTATCCCGTAGCAGAGTGCAGGAGTGGTTTCAACGTTTTCAAAGTGGTCGTGAGGACATAAATGACGAAGAACTTGTGGGCCAACCAAAATCCGTGATCACCGAAAATTCCATCGAACCTGTGCGTGAATTCATAAAAAAGCAGCCGAAATCATCATTGAAATTCATGGAAATAGAATTGAACGTCTCCAAAACATCGATTTATCGCATTTTGACCGAACATTTGGACATTTGAACAAATTGACTGACGTCCAAAAATTGCTCAGAATTCAACATTCGAAGGACATCATTAAAGAGTCAAAAAAAGACCCGAACTTCCTTTACAAGATTGCGACTGGTGGCGAAACGTGGTGTTTTCAATATGATCCCGAAACGAAACGCCAGAGTGCTGAATGGAAGGCTCCGGACGAGCCGAAACCCAAAAAATCACGCCTGGAGAAGTCAAAAGTGAAGACAATGCTGATTTGTTTTTATGATTCCAAGGGTATTGTCCACAAAGAATTTGTTCAACCCGGCCAAAACGTTAATGCGGTATACTACCTTGGAGTTTGGAAGCGTTTGGTGCGCCGTATTCGACGTGTCGGCCCGAATATCCGAAGATGGAAGTTGGCGTTTGTTGCACGATAATGCGCCGTCTCATCGATCGACTCTTGTGTCCGACTATTTGACCAAAAATCACATTTTAACCATCAACCACTCCCCGTATTCACCTGATATGGCACCGTGCGACTTCTACCTTTTCGGAAAAATGCATTTGCCGATGAAAGGAAAGCGTTATGCAGACGTAGAGGCCATTCAAAAGGCTTGCACCGGCATACTGGCGGCCATACCGGGCAACGAGCTCAAACACTCGTTCGACATGCTTATGGACCGTGCAAAACGCTGTATTTAAGCAGAAGGAGACTATTTTGAATAAAATAAATTGATTTTGCCGAAAAAACTTTTTGTTCTGACTTTTTTTATAAGTCCTGTTTACTTTGGAACTCACCTTGTAGTTTGAATTTCCAGACTTCCCGGCAGATCGCATTTTCCGGCTATTTGAAGGCTGCGGCATAGTATTTGAATAATTCAATCAATTTTGTTCTTATTATCAACACCTATCTACATGCCAAAAATATTATAGCGTTTTCTCTTATTTAGTGCATAAGGGCCAATTTGTTTGGTCATTGCCTATCACCTATAGACCATGAAATCCCCGATTCTTTAGTACAATTTATAGGGTTTCCCTCGGAATCTGCAATAGTTGATTCATCCCGTCGACAGGCAAAGTGAAACCTCCACCAAGTCACGTTTCGATTTCTTTTTATGTCTCGATAAGATTAGGTCCGTGTAATCACAGTACGTGATAAAACAATACAAGTTTACAAATAATATATACAGTTGGTAGATGCAAACGGGCGGCGTAAATCACTTGGTCCCGTCCAGTTTGGTTAGCCCATCGGCGTACTGGAACTCCGGGCTGTTTTCGTACTCGCACATGTCCAATGCGATGACACAACTCTCCTTGACCACCCGCTTTTCGTCCTCGGCATAGCGGTTCAGGATCTGAATGCAGTCCTCCGTGGCGATGGCGCCCAGGGCCTCGGCGCACTCGTGCCGCACCATCTCGTTCTCGAGGCGGTCCTCCAGGTTCTCCTGCAGGAAGGGAATGCTGCAGGGCTCCTGCAGCTGGCCCAGGACGAAGGCCACCTCGTGGCGGAAGAGGGCGGAGGAGTCCTTCAGCCCCTCGGCGATGGCCAGGACGCTCTCCTCGGTGCGCAGATTGCGCAGGCTGAACATGGCCCTGTATCGATCGAACAGGCTCTGCCGGGCATCCAGATAGATGGTCTTCAGCTCGGCGACGCTCTTCTCGCCCGCCGTTGGGGGTGAGGGATCCACGGAGGCGTACGGGTTGTTGTCGTCCACCTTCTGGCCGCTCTGCAGCCAGCGGACGCGGTCCAGGGCAATGGCGCAGGTCTCGGCCACCTCCACCACCGGGTCCCTTTGGTACTCCTCCAAAATGGGCAGCACATCGGGGTGGCCGATGGCTCCCATGGCCTCCGCCGCCTCGTGGCGCACCATCGGCTCCTGGGCGGTGTCGCGCAGCACCTTGGTGAGGATGTCCAATGCCTTGGCGTCCTGCATCTGGCCCAAACAGTAGGCCAGTTCGTGTTTCAGCAGAGCCGAATCATCGTCGAAGGCTTTGCTGATCGCCTCGATGGCCGTTTCGCCGCCGATGTTCTTCAGCGTGAACAGGGCCCGGAATCGCTCTTTCAGAGGGCGGTCCTTGTTGTTTAGGACGCCGCCAATGGCCTCGATCTGCAGCTGGGAGACCATTTGATTGTGGATTTAAAAAAAATTTATAAAAACAGCAGAAAGCCGCGTGTGGTTTTGCAATGGGACCGTTGGCGAAAATACCACATAATAAAAACCATACACTCGCCGTCAAATACTTGTATTATGTCACTTTGACATTAAAATTTGGGATAGGAGTGGTATAAAATAAGTATGATATTTTAAAGGTTTTGGGGAAACACGAATTACAAAAGTACCAAAGAGTTCCCAAGGATTTTACTGTCAAAGCTACAAAACAAAAATTATTTTCACTGTACGCAGACATATGAAGTTCAGTGTATACATTCGATAACGAACTCTTATCGAGTGCCTGCTATCGCCGCCACAAATATCGCAGCCCTGGCAAGAAGCAGTTTAGTTACGTTTACTCCGAGCAAGCGTTTTTTTTAAAACGCATTAAAAGGCGAAAAGCGAGTGTTTTGTTGGAAAAAACAGGCGCATCTACTTGCTAAGATCTCTGCGCAGCATCAGTGAACAAAAAGCGGGCCCCTAGACGTGGAAAGTTCTCGAAAAACGGCATTTCCCAAAGTTGCGCGTTCACGGTGTGCCAAGAAGCGTGGCGTGTGTGTCGATTTGAGTTACCCTACCTGTAATTGTGTGCGCGCCTGTGAGAGAGTGGAGGTGGAGTAAACTCGCCAGCGTTCGAAGTGGAAGCCAAAGATATAGGAATTGCGAAATACTTGGAAATACCGCCAATCTACTAAACAATGTCGGAGGCAACTGTGGCCCAAAAGCCGGAGGCGGTGGAAATAGAGGAGGCGGCGGCGGGGGACGACAAAAAGACTCCCGTAAGTAGCCGCAGCCGCACATACACATCCATATTTAGCGACAATTAACATAGCGCGGCGATAACGCACACAAACAGGGGACTTTGCTTTGCCCAAAGAATTATCTGCGGTACTTTTCCAAAATAACCGTGTGTGTATACGGGCTCACGGATATTGTGCATTTTCACAATTTCCCTTTGTGCGTCCGTTTTCTATTTACGTTTCTTTTTTCAACGTCTACCCTCGTGTGCGCGCGCTTTTTGCTTTTCCTTTCCACTTTCCAACTCCCCCCTCCCCGTGGCAGTGTGTGTGCGTGTGTGTATACGCAGCTACTCGCCGAAGAGGAAGAGCGGCGGGAGAGATGAGATGACGACGAGAGAGGCAGGCAGGCAATCGGCGTTTATCTTTTGAGCTCACGTTTTGCCGCTGCCGCCGCGTCTCGTTTGTTTTTATTTTTGCTGGTTCCCTTTTCGACTTTTTGTTGTTTGCTGTACTTTGTCACACACAGCGACACAAACACTTGCATCCGCCTCGCGGTGTTTGCGCCTGTGTTTCTGTTTCTGTTTGTGTACGTTTGTATGTATGCCATACGTTGCGCTCTAGATTCGGGTTCATGTTTTAGCGGCTAGCGACGACTATACTAATAGTTGTAGCTACGGATATTAACTCTCCGATCGACAGAAATTGATAGGGGGCTCATTTGGGGGTCTGCGCTGTGAATTCAGCTGTAAACAAGAACGTGCGGGGGCGACTGCAGCGGCAACTTGGCCGTGTCAATAATAGTACAGTGCGCGCTTTACGGAACGAAATTCGAAAATAGCTCATTGTTCCTTAATTTTATGTTCTCAATATCCCATTTCTTTAAAGTACAACTTTAATATTTGCTAACACTTAAGTCAATAAATATTTTATTTTAAAGTTAAAAAACTTGTACATTTACCTTTGATGCGTTAAGTTGTTTATGTTTCTGGGCTTTCGTTCATCCAGATCATAATCACTTAAAAAAAATATTAAAAAAACGAAACATTAGTTGAATACTTTTCCCCAAAAATCGATTAAAACAAACAGATGGAAATTAGACTAGCTTTTACACACACATCCGCAAATCAACTTTTGAGCGTAAAATATGGAGTCGAATTAATTAAAACAAACATCGAACACTTGCGTTTTCACGTGTATTATATTTTAAACATTTTCTAAAACCGTAAAACGCCTATTATTAGTTATTTCCAAATATTAATCGCGTGCGTCGCTGGCACTCGCGAAATTGAAACTGAGAGAGCATACAAATTTGGCGGGAAATCAGTGGAAGAGCTTTTGCGCTAGGATAACGGTAAATAAGCGCTCTTCTTAATCCGATCTTCCTTCTAAGAGAAAAAAGAGAGCGAGAAGCAAGGAAAGAGCGACTTAAGTTTTGGCGGGAAAAACACGATCCTATGGATTGCTTATATTTGTTATCTTATAAATAACTGAAGTACAATGCAAACAAACATTCGTAATTTGTTGTCTAAATTATGAAATTAAAATATCTTATCTAGAAACTTCCGCAAACTTTTTTTTAATCGCTGACAAAAATCGAAAATAGCTCTACCTATCTAATTGTGTTATCTGAACATCTTTCTAACTCTGTGTACTCCCTATCTATTATAGAAACGTACTCCCAAACGCCGCTCGGTTATTGATCGGGCGCAAACATTTTTTTAATCGCTGACAATAACCGAAACTAGCTTTACCTATCTAATTGTGTTATCTAAACATCTTTCTGAACTCTGCGTACTCACTGAACTCCCTTTCCATTGTAGAAGCGTACTCCCAAACGTCGCTCGTTCATTGAGCGGGCGCAGCAGGAAAGCGAGGAGCTGGTGCGAACAATGGGCGGCAGCCTGGAATTGGCGGGCGGACGGAGAACGCGGTCCAGCACTCGGGGAACGCCGACCCGAGCCGCCGAGACAGTGACGCCACCGCCAAGCAAAAAGGCGCGCACATCCCCGGCCTCGGCCACCAAGGCCAGCGCAGGAAAGGGACGTGGAGCACGCAAGCTGGACGTGGGCGGTGATGAGCCCGAACAAGAGCCGGAAAAGGTGCAGACACCGCCCAAGGGAAAGGTAAACAAACTGCCAGGTCTTCCCTCGATTGCAAACTAACGAACAAATAATTTTTCAGGTCGCTGCCAAGAAAGAGAAGAAGGAGACCAAGAAGGAGGAGAAAGCGGCTGAAGAAGAAAAGCCCGAGGAGGCGACGACGGATGCGGAGAAAGAAGTCAGTGAGTCAAAGGAGAAAGATGCCAAGCCAGCCGAGACCGAGGACCAGCCTGATGCTGTAGTGGAGGTGCCTGCAGTGGCGGTCGAGAAGCAGAACCATGTCGACGAAGTCAAACCAAGCACAGAAGAGCAAGAGAAGTCAACCGAAGAGGTGCCAAAAGTGGAGGAGCCACCAAAGGCGAGTGAGGAGACCTCCGAGAACGGAGCCGCCACAGAAACTCCCGCTGCCCCCGAAGAGCCATCTTCCGCCATGGATGTTGACGAAGATGAGCCGGTCGTCGAAAGCACACCATCAGCAGAAAAAGAACCTGCACCAGTTGAAGAGAAGAAGCCCGAAGAAAAATCTGAAGAACCTGCAGCACCCGTTGAAGAGGAGCCAAAGGCGCAAGCTGAGCCGGCCAAGGAACCTACCCCAGAGCCCATGGAGGTTGATGCCAGTTCGAAAAGCAGTTCGGACACGGCTCAAGTAGAAACACCTGCCACCGAGGAGGTTGCCGCCGCTCCAGAACCAGAAGCAGCCACAGAGGCAACAGAATCCAGCAATGATGTCGAGGAAGTGGCCACAGAAGTGAAGGAAACTGTTCCAGAAGTATCCACTGCCGAAGCCAAGGAGGCAGGAAGCACCGCCGAGTCCGCAGAAGAGCCCAAGAAAGCCGACAGCAGCGAAGAGAGTAAGCAGATCGTGAGTTCTACGCAGCCCAAGGAGGCGGAGAGCACTGCTGATGAAAGTGCCACGCCCGTTGCTGCCGAGGTTCCCACCACCCCCGCCACCAATGATGTCAGCAAGACCGTGGAAGTCGATGCCACCTTAGCGAAGGCGGCCGAGAGTCCTGCCAAGGAGCCACAGGTGATCAGCGAGGTCAAGAAGGTCGAAATCAATGTTAATGGTGAGTTTAAAGGTTGTAATTAATGTTGGCTTCAGTTAGTAAAATGTCACTTTTGCAGGTGAGCCCAAGATCGTCAACAGCTCAACCGAAGTAGGCGAGAACGCAGCGCCAAAGGTCTGTAACTAGACCGATCCCACCACCGATGGACAATCAACAACTACATTGCGTTGCGAATTTGTACAAACTGCATCTTCAGATCGCCCGCCGAGTTGGTCTGGATGTCGCCAACTACATGCAAACATTTAAGAGTTTCCCCAAACACAAGCTACGATTTTCTTTTTTTAATTGACCATTTGATTTCGCACTCAGAAATCCCTTCATTTTGATGATAGTTTCGGGTCTTCCAGTATTTGGTTGACGCGAGGGACGCCATAGGCTGCAATCGATGCTGGACTTTCTATGTTGCACTGTGTGCGTCAGCTAGACAGACAAGTAAAACAAGTAGGCAGTAGTTCCAGTCCCCATAACCCACCCACCCACTTCCCCAGAAATACACAGACAGATTGTAAAATGCATCTTAATATAATATGTATGTGGATAATTAATCAAATTGGAATCAAACAAATTATACATTGACGGAAATGTATGTAAAATAGATGTTTTTAAATTGTAAGGCATAATATCCTTAATTATAAAACCAATTGGACAACACTCAAAAATTAAGCAACCGAAACGCAGAAAGATTTTACCCGTTGTAACGCAAAACCAATGCTTTGCGGCTTTAAGATACGTCTATGCATAACTTTCACCCTTTTTGAATATTTCTATTCGTACTTCAAGCCCGTTTTATTTGAAGCATTTAGTCTACGTTTTTTAAGGATCCGATTTGCAATCGGTGACTACGGATGAGCTCATTGGAAACTGTTGTGCTAGGTAAAGATCCCTTCCAGGCGATCACTCCTAACTGAATTCGTAAATACATGCTAGAGTAAAGAGTAAACTTTTTCAATGAAAAAAGGAGAAACACAAATTCTAATAATATTAATAATGATAAATAATATATAAACACAGGAAAAGCGTAAATTAGTTTTGGAAGCCGTTGCAACTGAAATGATCAGTCAGACCGTTTTTGTACGTAGCTTATCTTCTGTATAAGGCATTCTTCATTTGAATATTCTTTTGTAAATAAATCTTAAAAAAATACAAGAGAAACTAAACTTGTTTGACGGCATTTTAAGCAGTATTCAAAAGCGGATTACTGAGTGAATCCTAGTATGGAGGTCTGTTGTGTCAAAGTATGATTCATTTTTTTTACTCGGTAGTTAATTTCGGTCAATTTCGGCTGAGATAATGTTTTTAAGGAAAAAGACAATTTAGATTTTATAATTATAGCATTTTCATTTATTTTGCGTTTTATTTTAAATGGGAACTTGGTTCCCTAGTCGATAACTTTTGGGTGCAATTCTTATTGTTACTTAATATTTCTAATGCAAATGTACAGATGTGATGATATGCTATACTAGGCCTCTGATGCGATTCCGTTTTCCTTCTCCTTGATTTGCTCTTCGGACAGTGGCGTCTTAGAGGCAACTCCTCCAACTCCAAGGACGGGCCTGGCTGGTTCAACAAGTTTCGGACGAAGGGCGAGTATAGCTTGGGGTTCTGCTTCTCGTCCTTGTCCAGGGGCCAAACATAGCTCATGGGAATGGCCCATGCGAATACTAGAATGGCACCCATCACCTTGTACCAGTAGAAAGACGCGTCGTAGATCGAGAATTCGCGATCGCTACCGAAAGCGGTGGTCACCTGCTTGGGGGCATCCAGAGAGGGAACCGGAGTGGTGGCGATGTTGCTTTTGTTGCTTTTGGTGAAGATTTTTCCATTAAAAAAGTTGAATATACTTTAGGATTCTTACTTACATGGAGTTAAAGATGACCTGGAAGCTCTCGGCGTTACACTTATCCAGGCCATTGGGCAGGGTGTCGTACTTGATCAGCCCAGCCTTGAAGTTCATCTGGCCGTTGATGATGATCCACAGCATCGCCAGGACACTGAAGGCGATTCCACTAACGGCCACCTTGGCATTGCAGCGGGGCACGAACATGCCCAGGCAGAATACTCCCACGACAGCGCCCATATTAATGCCTGTGATCGTCCACATCGTCTGGATAATGGAGTTGAAGTTCTGCACGACGAAGCCGCCCACGATGCAGTATGCTCCCATGACCACGATGAGCATCTTCATGGTCGCATTGGCCTTGGCCTCCGTGTGATTGATTCTTGGCTTGATGTAGTCGAAGTAAACCACTCCCGCGAAGGAGTTCAGACTGGCGGAAAGAGAACTCAGCGAGGCACTGAACACGCAGGAGATGAAGACACCGGGCATGCCCATCAATGCCCCATAATGTCTTGAATGAAGAATGGCATCAGTTTGTCTGGTTGCTGACCAGCTAAGGAGGAAGGATATTCAGTACAGGTTATTTTAGGGCCACAAATCAATTATCTCACCCCAGCCTGAATGGGATCGCATCCGTAGTAGTAGGCAACATGATGATTCCAGCGAAGCAGGTGAAGGACATGATGATGATGAAACCAAAGCCAGCCATAACGAGGCACCTCTTGGCGTGGCCATAAGATGGCATGGACACAATCCTCTGCACGCAGCTCTGGTCCAGGCCAAGTTTGCCCGTCCACATCAGCAGACCGCTGGCCATTCCACTGAAGAAGGTGAGCCGCAGGCGGGGATCTATGCCAAAACTAAAAACAAGTTAAGAAATTAGTCAAGCTATCTAACAAGCAACAATCAATTAAAAACCACAAAAAAGGGGTTATGTTATATTCCTGAATTACACTTACTTGAAGTTGAAGCGACCACCCTCGGAAGCATTCTGCAAAACATTAGCCAAACCACCTGTGTTCGAGGTTCCCAAAATGGCCACCAAAACAACCGAGATCAACATAACGCCTCCCTGCACCACATCTGTCCAGACACAGCCTTAATCCCGCCGAGCATCGTGTAGAAGACGCAGATGGACGAGACCACCGTGTTGATCAGGTGGATGTTGTAGCCGGTGACTGCAAATGAAAATGAATTTTAATTCAACCACTGACGCGCCTGCGGTTAAAATCTATTTTCATTATACCTTGGGAAAAGGCTAGCGAAGGCACAAACATGTAGACGGGAAGCATCAGGAACTGGTTGATGATGAACGTGATGGTCACCAATTGGCGGGTGCGCTTGCTGAAACGCATCTCCAGGTACTGTAAAAGAAGATCAAACAAAGACTTTATTATAAGAAAGTCTTTTATAACCAGAAGCTATATATTATAATGGCTTAGGGCATATAAACGTAACCCATTTTTGACAACCTTAAAGGCTTTTGCTTGCTGTCTTAATCTTTTATGACATGTTGGGAAATCAAAAAAATTAAAAGCAGAAGGACAGTGTTCTATAAATATATATAGTTATTTAAAGATCATTTTGCTAAGTTCACCGAGAGGATGCTAGACATTTTTGCACTTTAGCGACCTCAATTTTCATGTTTAAAAATCTAGTTTTTACTGGAAATTTTATTTTAACCTATTTTTGGGAACATTTTATCTGTTTACTCAGTTTTGTTAAAAAAAGCTTACTCATTAGGAACATTTTCACTCACCTCATAGCAGTTGGAGACATTATTATCGTAGAAAACGGGCACAATGACATATATAAGAACTGGTACCGCCAGGACCATGGCCCAGACCACAAAAATCATGTTGAATCCAAAGGAGTAAGTCTCCGCCGGAACGGACATCATGGCCACTCCGGAAAGCTGACTGAAATTACAGAAAAGTTGATTAAATCATGTAAATTACCATCCTAGCTAAAAATTTGTATAAGATCCCACAGCAACTAGCAAACGATTTCCGTAAAAAAAGGGGCTCGAACCTGAATTAATTAATTTCACCAGGCTTGCGGTTATTGTGCGATTCGTCTAAGCCTACTTTATGGGTGCAATAACTGGCATGCGCATTTGGATAAGATAGATGGATAGACATACGAGAATAGAATATACGGATTAAGGCGAAGGAGGCACGGTACTACGATACTATCTTTATGGCCCCGTGATGTGTCTGCTGTATCTTTACTGGCGGTACGTTGTGACGACATGGAAATTTATGGAATAAAGCGTGCGGAACACTCACCTCGAGACAAGGGAAATGGCCACAGGAAGGGTGGGCATCTTCTTACCGCCCTGCAGGTACTCCTCGGTGGTGTTCTTGGCCTTCGAGAAGAACCCGAAATAGACCCCAATTCCGGCCGATGCACTTAGCATGAGGGAGAAGACTATGTAGTCCGTGAGGCTGAAGCGGAGATCCTCCATGGCAGCCGTAGTGGCAGAGGCCACTGTGCTGGCCAAGTTGCTAGCAGTGCTAGTCATCCTTCAGGTGTGTTATATCCTTGGTATCGGGAAACTAGGAAAGCCGAAACGGAAAAGCCTTCGGAGCTTAGGGTCTGGATGCTGCCAGCGCACTTCTGTTGTCGGATCGTGGACACCCTTCTTAAGTAGCAACCCCCAGTTAGCCAGCCATCCTTATCTCGGCACGATATCTGTCTATGTGCGTCGCAATAGGAGTACATCGTAAATCAGGGGCTCTTATCAGGCTTACAGAGCACAGGCCGAGTTAACCAGACGTATCCGGAATCCCAGAGATCGTGTATACTCCATTAAATGTCAATTAATCGCTCAATAGAGGTCGAAATTCGCTTCTTTTGAATTAAGGGGCTAAGGACCTTACAATCCATCGGAGCCAACGTCTCCTTATCACCCGCCAGCGACCATGATTGCCATTAACCGACTTTGATAATGGAGGAGTCTGTATGTAAACTTAATCACTAGCGCCAGTCTTGTCGCACGCATCTGCGGGTAAATAATATAAAGTTGGAGTGGGCAACCTTCAGTTGCCCTCTAGGCTGTTGAACCTAGAAAACTTTAGCCTATTTTATGGGATGTGCTGATGAAACTGGTGGCTAATCCTTGAAATCCATTTTCTAAAATTTTTAGATAGTTACAGTATGCTAAGCAAATTCATTTTTTAAATGTGTTGTCAGTTAAAACTATTCTGTCGGCTTCAATTCTTCGTCTTTTGTTTACTACTCCACTCCGCACACTCTCCTGGTGCTCTTCGTCACTATGTCTGCAGTCTACAGTCTACATTTGCTTTTATTTGAATAATTAATATGTATGTTTTTAGAATAGTTTCCATACAATCATTGGAATAAGTCAACTTGATGAGTTGGTTTATATAATTTTGTATTGGTATTAGTATTTCCCTTAGACGTAGTTTTTAAATGTTTTCAAGAAAAAGCATGCATTACGTTTAATTTTGTTTTATTTAGTTTACTTAATCGCCTTGGTAATATTTCAGTCTTAAAATACTAAAATACCTATAACGAATCAGTGTTCGATACCAGCTTCCTTTTCCTTTTCGCCAGGGTCTATTCGGACGTGGGGAATCTCACCGTTATTGGCTCCTTGCAGTGGCACCTCCTCGAGTTCCTGATCCGGTTCAGGGAGAGTGAGAAACTTCCTCACGAAGGGCGAGTACAACTTGGGATTCTGTTTCTCGTTCTTATCGGGTCGCCAAATGTAACTCATGGGCACTGCCCAGAGGAAGATCAGAGCGGTACCCAAAACCTTGTACCAGTAGAACGAGATGTCATACAGAGAGAAGTCACGATCACTGTGGAAGGCAGTGGTCACAGGATCGCCAGAAGGAGGCTTCGACGTGACGGGAGTAAAGTCAGTCTTGTTGCTGAAAAAGAAGGAAATGTTATTACAATTCATCGTTTTCAAGAAATTGTGTGATTTTACTACTTACATCACATCCGCAATCATGTGCAGACCCCTCGCCTCACACTGATCCAGCGAATTGGGCAGCACGTCGTACTTGATCAGTCCAGATTTGAAGTTCATCTGGCCATTGGCAATGACCCAGACCATAGCGACCACACTGAAGATAATGCTGGTGACGGC